CTTCATAGCTCGTCGGATTCCTCCAGTATAAATATTATGATATTCTGAAAAGCACTGGAGACACTTCATGATCTGATGAATCACTCAACTAAGAGCCTTGGGAATGAAAAAGAACTGGAACGTTTTATATTTATTCTGTGTTATTGATACTTGCATAATGTTCTTCAATAAAAAAATGAAAATAATTTGGCCAAACATATCAAAGGCAAAACAGTCGCGGGAAAAAAGTCTAGAGACTTAGTAAGGCTTTTTCTGGCTAAGCAGATGGAATTTATGTATTTGTAGGCATACCCAGAAATGTTTTTTTTATTTCATAGACGCACTTGCCAAATGCAGCACTTGCAAATCTCACCATGAGTGCCAACGAGTTCCACATTATTCAATGACTACGAGAGATGACTCAACAGGGAGCGGAGAACCGCCACAAACCCACAAAGAGCTCGATGTTGTGGAGAATGTAAACAAAATTTTGTTCTTCGTGACTTTACGGAAAGACCCAAAGAATATGAATTCCTGCAGTCATGAAAGCTTTAAGTCAAGATTTTACCGCTTCTATGGGGAGGGTTTCCACACAACTACTAGATCTTTGAACAAACTTCGAGACAAGAAGGCTCATCTGATCGAGTCGCCCACATTTCTGAAGAGATGCCGTGACACTAAGGTAATACCGATCACCTTTACACTGACATCTGCTTCTGTCACTTCTCCTAATGCTAAACGGATCTTGTTCAGGGGCGGCCTAGCCCTAATCTCAGAGAGAATAGGTTTGCTCCGATTTGAACTAGACAATTTAGACAAGACTCTCCTGAAATCACACTTAACATTGACAGAACAAATGTCTACATCTGATTGGGAACATGTAGATAACATGACAGCCTCTTCAGCCGCCTCAATGTCAGCTAAATGCAAAGATAACCTGATTTCCAGGTTCAACCTCCTTTCCAAGAAGAATCCAGATCCACACATTAAAAAGTTTGACGTTGACAAGATTTCGATTTAAAGCTTTCGTGACTGCAGGGATTAATCTTCTTGATTCTTTCGGTAAAGTCACGTAGAATGGAAATAACATAATAAAAATAAAACATAATAAAATAAAATTCTCACGACGTTTCGGCCACAACACAAGTAGCCTTCTTCGTCGTCCCGACAGTTCTGTTCCTTCACCTGAAGAAGGCTACTTGTGTTGTGGCCGAAACGTCGTGAGAATTTTATTTTATTATGTTTTATTTTTATTATTTTATTTCCAAGAAGATTAATCCCTGCAGTCACGAAAGCTTTAAATCGAAATTTAACCGCCTCTACGGGGAGGGATTCCACATAACATTGAGATCCTTCAACAAACTCCGGGATAAGAAGGCTCAGCTAATCGAGTCTCTCACCTTTCTAAAGAGATGCCGCGACTCTAAGGTAATACACTAACCTTTGCTGCTGTAACTTTTTCTAATGCAAAACGAATTCTATCTAGAACTAGCTTAGCTCTTATCTCGGGGGAAAAAAAAATCAGACTTACGCGTACCGAACTAGATCAGTTAGACAAGACACTCTACAAATCACACTGCCACAATGTCGACCAAATATAAGGACAATTTGATTTCTAAATTCAACCGCCTCTCCAACAAGAAATCGGACCCACACACCGAAAAGCTAGACGTTAACAAAGTCGTAATTAATCGCAGTAACAGTTCCATTTCTGATGGTCTAAAATCCGTTTTAGCTAAAGGGCTAAACTTTGCAGTCACACCTAGACACATACCAGTTAATGATATCATTGCTCATGTCGACGTGGCACTCAAGGGCCTGGGTCACATCGCTGTAGACGTAGCAAGATCTGAAATCGCTGCAACCCTCAAAAACGCTAAGATGCCAGCTAGCAACATCAGCAAAGATGAGCGCTTTGAATTCTCAATTAAAAAAGAGGGATGACATTATCATCTTCTCAGCCGACAAGGGCAATGCCACTGTCATCATGGACAAAATAGAATATAACAACAAAATTCAGGAACTACTCAACGATGGGAGCTATACAAAAATAAGAAGAGACCCCACCAACAGCATCGTTACTAAAACCAACAAAATCATTTCTGATTCAACAGCATTAATTGATCAAACCAAACAGTTCTCGTTGAAACCTTCTGCGGCCAGGCCACCAAGATTATATGGCCTTCCAAAGATACATAAAGAAGATACACCCCTTCGTCCCATCGTCTTTACTAGAAAAACCACCTCTGCGGTACTAAACTCTACTCACCTGGTATCGACAATCAAGGGTATTTCCCTGTCCCCAGACGACCTGCTTGTCAGTTTTGATGTGGTTGCCTTATTCACCAAAGTTCCTGTACCTGACACCATCGCAATCATTGAAGACGTGGTTCATGAAGAACTGCATACTGATGTACCCCCCCTGGTGAGACACTGCTTAACATACTTCACCTGGATTGGAACTTTCTACAAACAAACTGAGGGCACCCCAATGGGCTCCCCCCTATCTCCAGTTGTAGCCAACGTTTTCATGGAAAAATTTGGGACTGACGCCATCCAGACTGCCACTATACGCCCGACCTTATGGAAGAGGTACGTGGATGACACTTTTGTCATCTGGCCACATGGCCGGCCTGCTTTAGACCAATTCCTCAACCATATCAATTCCATACACCCAGCCATCAAATTCACCATGGACGTGGAAAAGGATGGCAAGTAACCATTCTTGGATGTTTTAATCTAAAAGAGACCAGATGGCTCAATGGGACACTGTCTACAGGAAAGCCACCCACACAAATGCCTACCTAAAACCTGACTCCTACCACCATCCATCCCAGAATAATTCCCTCATAAAAACTCTACACCATACAGCTCCATGTATTTCCGACCATTATCACCTAGCCAGTGAACTGGAACACGTACACCAAGCTCTGAAGATGAATGGATATTCAGACTACATAATCCATAAAGCTATCACCCCAACCGCTGAGAAAGAACCATCTGAGGACCCAATCAAAACCATCACCTTGCCATACATAGCAGGGGTGACCAAAAAGATTTCCATAATCATGAGCAAGATCCAGGTTCGATTTAACACAATACATAAAATTCGTGATCTGATCCCCTGCGAAGGATGTGATCCCTGACATGCAATACCCCTGTGTCTACAAACTAAGCTGTGTCTGCAGCAGTAGTTACATTGGGAAAACTAAGCGCCATGTCTCGGACCGTGTTCGTGAACATAAGGCAGATCTGAAACCCGGTAGGACCAATACCTCGGCCGTGGCTGATCATTGTTTCAATGCGGTGGGCACACACGAAATAGATTTCTCCAAGACGAAGGTACTTTGCAAACCCACTGGCTATCAACAAAGATTCGTTCATGAAGCCATCCAGATATGTAGACACAGACACAATTCCAACCGAGAAGATGGGTACAAACTGAGCAATCATTGGAAGGACGTTATTAACCAGTTTAAGTCATAACTGCCTGTGATGTCTCCATTCCAACCTTCCGATGGTAGTTATTATTTTCGACTCTCTGATTTTACATTAACAGGTTAAATGTCTCACACTAACACAGCCACCGTCGCTCGCGTCCTCGACGTGGCAGCGGCTCTGCGATCTTACATTGACATGCTAATCTTTCACATTACAATAGCCACCTCTGCACCCTTGGCGTGGAAGTCGCCCTCCGATCTTACAATAACATGCACATTTCTCACATTAACATCACTAGCCCCGCCCACTACGTTTATGACCCTTGGGCTACACCCATTTCAAACCTTTAAAACAGCCTGCTTCAGCAGCTTTCCCCCTCCATTTTTTTTCCTCCTGATGACGATTGCTTGTGTTGCGATCGAAACGTCGTAGTTTTTTTGTAAAAGGAAAATTCTTCTACGTGACTTTACCGAAAGACCCAAAAGAATATGAATAAAACAACAATACGCCTCTATCATGTAACCGTCTCTCCGCGTAAAAGTATATTTCTTGAACAACCCATCAGCCGCATGGCCTTCTGGGAGTGCATCATTTCAGCGTCACTGATTTCAAGACAAACAAACAAACAAAAGACAGGGTTTCCTGAAACAATGCAAGCCTGACTCTGCTGATGAGACACTGTATGCCGAAACCGGTACAGAGGTACGTGGACAGACGGCTACGTGAAGGAGACATTCCGTCTGATTATTTATTTTGTCATCTCTGAAAGGTGTTCTCCCAATTAATGCAGACATCACGAGGTGCACTCAAGTCGGCATATGCTCACGCATAGCGTGCCCTCACGCTCTTGCATATGTCTAGATGAATGGCAACGTAGAAGTCTATATCCAGGTTCGTTAGCCAGGAAATAGCTTCGGTTGATGTGTGGTGAATTGCTTCAATGCCTCTATTGATCTTTAGGAGAACTGGTTACATCAGGGGTGGTCTCGCCCCGACGAACACCCACTTTCCGTAACAAAACCCCGTCATTTACATGAAGCCCACATTTAGCCAATCCACGGCTTGCAATGTTCCCTTTATAAATCGCGGTTTTAGTATCTGATGAGAACGTGAAAAGCGATGTAAACAAAAAAAAGTTGAAAAAGAAACCACTGAAACCACCCTCAATCGCAAAAACCAGCTTTCAGAAGGCACAGAGTGCACCGCTGCTAGGGGATGCTGTGCCGTGCAAGACTAAACAGGGGTGGCACTGGCGCGTGGCGTTTCTGTTCAGCGTGGATCCGCAGCTGACCGCAGGTCACCATTGCTCTGCACAAGGGGCCGTCAGTTTTGTGTTAAAAGTTCTCGGACTTTTATGGGTCAATTTCGGATAACTTTTTGTACTTTTGGAGCCGCAGCTAACCGCAAGTCACCATTGCTCCGCTCGCTGAACCATTTTTTTTCTCTACTTCAGGAGCGCAATTTGCGTTGTTTATTTAATTTTTTATAGCTCTCTGAAAAACCCCAAGTTTTATTTTGTTATTTTGAGGAAACACTGTTCCATAGTTTGATTGGTGTGCATTGCATTATTAATCACTCACCAAATTTGCCATGTAGATGGTCAACAGGCCTCTCCTGCAAACATCACAAAAAGTATGAACACACTCGTAAACAAATCAACAATATCGACGCTTTTAAATAGGCCACAATGATGCTGTGCATAATATGTATTGTGCGTGTATGTGTACGTGTGTGGGACTGATTGGGGAGCAGAAGTGTCGTGGTTAGTGCAACGCGCTACGAACCCACCGCTCATGAACAATAACAGCGGCGAATATATGAACAGGTCCTGGGCATCCCTTAGATCTACTCAGCCTTAAATAAGTACCTGGTGCGGTGTGTAAACATCGGCACTGGGGAGACAAAGGTGGCTGGGCGAGGTCCTGGCCACACCCCCTCGTGTGCCGTGCCAGCCTCTGTCGGGGCTTGCTAACAGCACTTGCGTACACATTCTCTTCAATGCTATAGGGGGATCTTTGTCTATTGTGGGACTGATATGTTGTGCTCTGTTGGCAGAGCGACTCATGAATTAAATTTCAGAACACGGGCCATTAACATATAGTAAGATTGTCCCCCTCCCTCCGGGACCCTCCTGAAACAGAGATGCAGTGAGTATTTTTAGGAATAAATACATTCATTGTGTTATTGTATTTAATGTATATGTCCAGAAGAAAAATAAATTCCTTATTACACCTTTCCATTTGATTAAAATAGATTTCCTTTACACCAACAGCTGGAATGATAAAGATGGTACAGTACAGAAAAAAAACTAAGAGCAAAAGATAAAAAAATAACAAACAGGAGACGATACACACGAGACCAGGGGTCGGCAACCAACAAAACAAGAAGAGTATTTTTTTTCGAATAAACAAAAAACTCCTCAATATTTCAAGAGCCACAATGCAAGTGAATATGAGACGGTGAACCTTAATAAATAACATCACGAAACAGCCCTTAAAAAGCCGCAGGGTGCCGATGCCTGCACTAGATTGACAGCATAAACTAGACATCCAAAGGAGACGTACCATACAAACAAGATGAAAAGTACAAAATAATCATTACAAACGAGACAAACAAATGTCGTCTCGATTTCAACTGTGACCCCAAACCCTCAATTCATTGAATCGGAGAAGAGCAGAGAGTGAATAGTCATGACATGACTAGCAGTTTGTGCAATGCCACCTAGAGTTATGCCCTAGGTACCTGGGTTAAATCTGTCCACACAACCTAATATTGTCAGCCTTAACAGATGATCAATAATAGAATACAAGCCTGTAGGGCTGTACGGGGGAGCCCAGAGCAAGCACTTTTGTAGCAAAACCGTGATACATGTTCAGCCAACATGTGGCCTGAATTAAGCAGCATGCACGGCTAAAGTGTTTCCCTGCCCTGCGTTAAGGTAAGAAATAAATGAAACGACTGTAAGAGGCCTCGGTTTAGCTTCACACAGACTCACAGCGTGGCCGTTGCTATGGGGCCCATTGCCAGAGCACATCGCTGAAGACTCCACTTCTGACATGCATTCCCAATATCGATGCTCCAATATGGGTTGTATGCTCACAAGGGAGATACAGTTTCCACTTTTCATGGATTTGCCTTTCCTATTATATGTTTTGAATGCTATATTTACCACCGAAATCTTCCTGTAAAAGGAGAGATTCTGTTTCAAATGGGCTCTCACACATTTGTCATAGTTTTTTTTTACACTTTTCTCTAATGGTATCCCATCTGTGCTGATGGCACAGAGCCAAATGGTGCAAGATGTTAACTACCTCGCCTGGTATACAGGAGGACGTGGGTTTGATCATGACAGTGACACCTGTATATTTGGAGTTTTTTTATGTTATCCCCGTGGTCACGTGGAATTTTCTACGAGTCCTCCGGTTTTTCCCTCATCATTTAGAAACAAGCGTTTATAGTATCTGGCTGCTATACATTTCCACATGCTAAACCACTTCGTTGAGCTATCATTTGTGGCCAGGTCGCATCTGAAAAAGAGCTACATAGTGCAGTGGACCTTACCTGGTAAAATAAAAAAAAATTGAGTTTAGTTGTTGTTAGAAAAATGACAAATGAACTGGAAGGTTTGTTGAACAGCTGCAGATGTGACATTCTACACATCTCCTGTCATCCTTCAAAGATCTAACTGCACTCTGAGCAGTTTAAAGATTTCACAAATCATATTATCATGAAATATTGTGGTGAATTAGAGATAATATAATTTAAAGAGAATTAGAATTATCATAGATAAGGGTCCGTATTGCCCCAGCCTATGCTGCTGAGACTTTTGAAAGGCAAAATTGGTCCAGAGTTTGCCTGCTTGAACTAATGCTGCTGGGAAAATATCGGTGCAGAATGCTGGTAATGTTGATGGACTTCAATGTCAGGATTTCTATATCAGGGCACCCTGTTTCATGTTGGGTAAAAAAATAACGGCTTTCTTGCTTAAATGAGCATCGAAGGTTACATTGACGCTGTGTATGTGCGTCAAAACGTGATGTAACGGGCCCGCACAATCCCTCAATTTTTTTTTTAATAGAGCATCGTTCATTACCTGGCTACAGCCCTGAGCCTGAAATTAAAATTTCTATGACGGTGGGGGGGAGAGGGGGAAAGTCTATCCATAGTGCAACCACTGCTGACTTCTCCGCAAAGCAGTACTCCGTTTTAGCTTTAGCTTATAGTTTCATTTTATCAACCCCAGAGGGATGACAGCCTGGGTTCTGCTGTCGTCTGATGATGCTGGTTGTAATTACCGGCAAAGCGTTGTACTCTAATTGTAAATGTTGTGGGTTTACTCTCCAACACACCGGTGTGTTCAACTAGTAACGAATGGGCATGTATTGTTTATGTGGCAAACCTTACTAATTGGCTGTGTCGGGTGGTGGTGGGTTTAATGAGAATTGATATATACGTGATCTAACCCAAAAACCTCTTATGCATAATATTAAATCGCAAAAGCCTACGTGTTAAACTGAGGATTTGAACTGTCGGGTAAAAGCTGAACATTTGAACCTGGGATTTCAAGTGTCTGCTCAGTGATTCAACTTTACACGTCCTAAATGACGCAAAGACTCATCTTTCAATACTGTGTGTTCACCGTAAACTGTCCAGACAATAATTACACTGCCTGCACCAAAGATCACCTGCTTTTTCTTTCCAGGAGGATGGCAATGTAGGAGGCTGGCAGTGCCGCCCAGAAGCCACCCAGCCACGAGTTGAAGCCACCCATAAGCTTTCTGTAATAACAGGGTTGGCACAGACCATGCAAAGCATTAATTCAGGTGTTTAAGTCAAACAGTCATTTCTTAAGTCCCAATGGAGCATATCGCTCGGTTTGCAAACCGCGCGTTATCGCAGCAGTGGGAACGATACATCACAGTGACACAGAGAGGAGTCGTGTTACAACTTGAAACTTGGCTCAAGCGACTGTGGTTCAGGCAGTGACACGTGTAGAACGAGTGGTGACCTGTGACTTCATTTCAGGTAATCAAAAACAAATTGTATTGCACAGTGATGGCTACGCATATTATCATGTGCACATCCAACTCTGCTTTGTCGCTTTTCCTCACCGTATATACAAATCAGTATGTCCAGCTTCGAAAGCAATTGGCCAAACATCCCAATGCAGAGGAACACATCTGGTCGACTCGTTTTAAGCTTTTCAGGACCAATCATATAATTGCATTCCTTTGTCAATCCACTGCTGGATGAAAGCCTCCCCGTGTCAGTTATGGGGGAAGTTTGACCATAATTGTCCGCGGTAGTCACTGGGGGTCGATGAAAGGGGTGCCCAGAACCAAAATCACAAATGCACAAATCCACTTGCCGCGGACGACAGAACCGTGGTTCAACCCGATGGTTCAGTTTTTATGTAAGGGTCATGTCCACAAGGTTTGTCTGCACTTGTAATGCTTCTATGAGAAAAGCTGAAAACTAATAACAGCTATCACAGGCATTAATATTTCATTTCCAATGGCGGGGGGGGGGGGGGGTTGTTCACTACATAATGTACATGAGCCAAGTGCTGCTACACAAACTCATTTAGTAATCGCCCCCTTCTGGGGTGCAGCAGTGGCAAGATGTTAACTACCTCGCCTGGTATACAGGAGGTTGTTGGTTCAATCCCGACCATGACGCCTGTGTATTTGCTGCTAAAAAAATCCACATAAGCCACTTCGTTCGGCTATCATTTGTGGCCAGGTGATTTCTGAAAAATAGCCGTATAGCTCAAGTGGGCCTTACCTGGTAAGATAAAAAAAATTGTTTAGTTTTTCTCCAAAAGCACTCGCCCTTGCTTGCGTGACACTTAAACGTTTCTGTGTCTCCGATTCTTGATTCTTGGGTTTCCCTCTCAGTTTCTTTAGTTCTTTCTCTCGCCACCAAGGTTTTTCCAGTCGGAGGCCTCGCTCACGTGAGAACCCTTTAGGGTCGACGTGCGCACCTCCAACGCGCGTCCCGAGAGCGCTCACCGCAGAATACAGAAGGAGGCGATGTAGAGGCCGCCATTGGCGCTGAGGAAGGCCACCGACCGCGAGAGCTCCGGCAGCAGCCGGTACAGGTAGTAGTCGCGCTTACGCCGCCGCAGAAGCGCAGCGATCTGAGCGGACGTGCGACGCAAAGGGGGGCACTCAAAACGCGGCAACTCGCAGGGACGCTGCGACCGCTAAACAAACCATGTTCAGATTTTGATTTAAAGCTTTCGTGACTGCAGTAATTCACACTCTTAGCTCTTTCGGTAAAGTCACGTTGAAGGGAAACAATAAAATAATATATATATAAAACCGACACACCTGATGACCACCGTTTGTGTTATGGTCGAAACGTCGTTTTATATATATTATTATTTTATTGTTTCCCTTCAACGTGACTTTACCGAAAGAGCTAAGAATAATAACCAGGTTTAGTTTGTTGTCCTTCCCCTCCGCACCCCGGGCCCGCACTTCCGATTGGCACGGTTGTATGGTGCGAAACATACGTATGTACACACGCGCTGCAAGCGAGTAAGGTGCTGCTTTCTAGGGTGGTGTGCGGTACAGCAAGCAGGAGTCTTAACAATGTTGCGCAGCGCCATTTCGGTGCTCTACTCTCGTGCGCGTTGACATTTCTCCAGGAACTATAGGGTTCAACGTAGATGTAAAAATATTGAAAATGTATGTTTAAACATCTTGAGCAGGTAGCCTCCTGAAAACGATTCCTGAAAGAGGTGATTCAGGGACAAGATTAAACATTAGAATTGTAAATCAACTGTTCACTCAATTGCCTTTGCTAAAAATCATGATATTCCTTGTCACATTCATCAACGACAGTCTATCCATGTGCTTCTAACCTATGGCTCGCGAGCCAGATGTGGCTCTTTTGATGACTGCATCTGGCTCGCAAATAAATCTTAGCGGACATTTCTTTAATGTATTCAGTGTTAAAACATATTATATGGCTCTCACGGAAATTTATTTTTAAATGTGGCTTTCATGGCTCTCTCAGCCAAAAAAGGTTCCCGACCCCTGTTCTAGAAGGTCCATCCTACTCCGTCACCATCACTAACTGTCCAACGATGCTACAATGCTCCTGCACACTCGCTGATCTGATCACTCTCTCTCTCTCTCTACGGTTGTCGTCTGGTTTGGCACACAGAATTCCCTTCTTTGGCCGCATCACCAATCTCATCCATCAGCGACAATCCCTCCTCGAGATTGTGCCCATCCCTAGCACACTTACTCACGTCTGATAGTCAACACGAACGTTTCGAAGTTGTGCTTGTCGCCTCATCCATGCAATTATAAGCAGAACTGGTTCAAATTGTCACTTGCCACCGATGTTAGCCGTGGCTGGGATTCAAACCAAGTTTTACAAAGCTCATAGTGGTGTATATCTTCTTCTTTCGAATAGCTGATATAGATGCAGAGCAACAGCACCAATTTCACATCCAATTGGTCAAGCTAGATAACCACGTCCGGAGCAGCGGAGTGTGTCGCTGTGATGTCTCGGATTGTATATCAATGCACCGCTACTGCACTTGCATAGAACCATGAAAACACAAAGGTATCTGGAAATTATGCTCTGTATATGTACCCTTAACAACAGCAGTAAGGCGATCGTGTATTACACTCTATCTCAAAATAATCCACGAGAAAAACAATTCTAATTCTGAGGTTTGCATCTGACCACGACTGAGATGCTCGGTTTAAAACCCCAGTTTCTGAACACAAGCTAAGTCCTCAAGAGCAGCGAGTTTGATGGGTCTCTCTCTCTCTTTACAGACGCATTTCCCCACATCCGCGTGTTATTGCTTGCAGACACAATCCCAAAAAAGAGTAGAGGCTGCACATTTACACGGACGTAATGGAGCTGAATGTCATTGTTAGGCAAAAGCGTGTCACTTGTGTGCTGGTATTAGGGACAGATTTGAAGAATGGCTGACAACGTATTTTTCATTGAATGAGATTTTTTAGACTCGATCAGTATTAAAATCCGAAAATCCACTACTACAGTCAGTCAGAAAACGAGGTGTAGAAATTATCTTCCATAATTTCCTAAAGTGGGGTAGATGTGTCTCAACTGGCCTGAATGCTTGCCTTGATCAAATAAATCTAAGAATTGCAAAATTACCTGGCAGGCACCTGACCTCATAAAAAATTTTGGAGCATCTTAAAATCTGGAGAATACGGTAATAGGACGAAAGGCATAATTGGAGAAACCCACTTTACAGCATATTCTCCCACCTTAAATAAATTTAATCATAATAATTACAACAATTACACTGCACTTGCCTCTAAATACAGCACTTTAATGGCTATCATGGACCTCGCTGGGCTCTCGCTAAGTGAATTAACACCGGTCACGTTCAGACAAAGAGGAGCTTTGAGTGTAGTGAGTAAACCCATTTCACCCAAGTGAGAGGGAATGTTCATATGTGCTAGCGTTTTATAACACACACACCCCAATAAGGTTACATAGTGCTTAACTCATTATGACTCTTGCAGTTGGTGGGCAAGCCTCGGATAAATCACAAAACTCGACATCGAGGCAAAGAGAGCAATTCTATTCGTGCTAATGGCAATATGTTCAGGAGCTAAATGCCAATGTCGAGGTCCGCTCGCCTCGAGAGGGCTTCAGGAAAGAGTTTGTGTAGTTTTGCTATTCGGGTCCATAGTTTAAGTTGCATGTACTGATGTGGGTCATGGCTCCACCAGTGTCTTGGAGGAGGAATGACAAAGCTAGGAGGTGCGATGTTTGGGTCTCAAATGAGGAGTTTATTCTGGACGTCTGCATTGTACAAATGATCGCCAGCATTCTTCTGGATCAGGAAGAAGAGCAGTAACAGTACTAGACATGAAGGGCTCACTTAAAATATTACCAGCCAGGCCTCGTGGAGACCAAATTACACTTCAGCTCCGCCATAATCACTAATGGTGCACGCAACCGTTGATCTCTTTTCAGCATAACCTTCCATCCTAAGTCACAAGAACTAAGTCTCCTACACATGCCGCCCGTTACCATATCCGTGGAACTTGCCCTCGACCTTTCCCAAATCCAGAATGCCATTTCTGATGCCAAATTGTTGTGATCCTCCAACAAAATATACATTTTAGTTAAGAGACCTTACTGTCCATGACTCTTGTTTGGCTCAAACCGTATTTATCTTCAACCCCAACTTGGGGCCTTGTTTGATAAGCTATACAATTGCTTCCTGTGGATTAATTTCCATCGCAAGTCATCAGCGAAACAATAATACAAGTTGGATGAGGAGCAACGTTAGAAAATAAGGAGGCGAGGAAGTGGAGGATGGAGCGCTTTTTGGAAAGTTTTAATTTAATAATTATGAACGGCAACAAGCCAGTGAACTTACTATCACGTATGCATCAGAAGCAGATATTGACGAATAAAAATGGAACACAAGCTAACAGATGCGCAGAGAAGCATACAGAGTTGCATGCTGGTAACTGCACCGCTAAGATAGAGAGCGGAACACGTGGATGAAGGAACGACCACCACACATTAGACGTCATATTGACTTGGTAAAACAAAAAAAAGTGCTTGAGCAGAACGCATCGATTAAATGGAGCGAAAGCTGATGGACGAGACTGGTAAAGGAATTGCAGACAGAGGAGGGCCCAAGAGGACAGGCACTGTGGAGATGGAGCAATCAAATCCGAAAAAAAGGAAAATATGTACTGAGGCATACAGGACTGTGAGGGGTCGCATGAATTGGGTAGGGGGGGGGGAGTATTTATTCAGCAGTGGATAAACCACGGCTGATCATGCTGCCAACCGAAATCCAAACTATAATCCAAACTAATGTAAGATGCGACCCAAATAATAGCTCTTGGAGAGCGGCGATGCATCCAAGTGACGTGCTATGGGCAGTGTGATAAAGGAATTATTAACCATGAGAACATTCTTTGAAATGACGATCTGGTGCTTCTGTATTCGTGCGGTGGTAGCTATGCAAAGTGGTCTGTAATCCAGCACTGTGGAGGCAACGAGGGTTGATGGATCACAGAAACGTTGTTAAAACTCCCTTCCCGTGGGCACCGAGATTTTGTCATCCGCTGGGCTCTCCAGGATATGGCAGTCGAGAAAATTGTAGACTCCACCTGTTCCATCTGTATGGGATAGAGCGTTCCCCCCTCGCACACGCATGGGTTTACTCCGGGTGTGCCAGTTTCCTGCAATGTGTAAACACTCGTTGGTTGGCAGATAACGCCTTCGTACACAGAGGACTGCGGAGCTTGGGAAATTGTTGGCGTCAGCTCCTCACAGCGGCGGCTGCTGCTGCCGCCTTTCTGTTTGGCTTGTGGCTCCTCCTTGCCCCTGCCGAGTCGAACATGATTATTGTTTATGGAACGTGACTGTTTATGGAACTCTGGATATGTCACTCGGGAACGAGTTCAATAATGCTAATCGACCAAGTGACGCAAGCCGACCGCGATAACAACGCAGCGTTACGACCTTGGATGGCTTTTAAAGTTTCGTGTGTTTATTGGGAGTGCCGTTACCGTCAACGAAGCTCTAAATTCGCGTCGGCTCAGGCCTGCCCACGTAACCTTCGGACGCTTATCTAAATATAAAAGATAAGAGCTGCAGAGTTGGCCGTACTTAGCCAACCAGCGACTGCTCCCTAACAGAGTCCATAACGAGCAAATGCATTAGATTCTAGATTTAAGTGTCAGAATAACATCATTACACTTGGCAAATAACGTGCGTTTGTGTCGACTTTCCCATTTACACGCGCGTTCCCACATCAAGGAAGCGATAAGCGCACAAACGCATGCACAACAAAATACTTCGTTGCGTTACGCCAAGGCTCCGTCCCGACCCGCGCGGTCCCTCCCGCCGGCCGAACGATGTCGCACCTCAACCGCGGGCGTCTAGGAAAGAGCGGGGGGGGGGGGCCCGCGAAGCCGGTCTAGGCCTCTGACGCTCGAAGGGCGATTTCCAAACAAATAAAAGGGGGAACTCACCAAGTAGAGCGGCGTGTAGATTCGCACGGCCTCGTCGAAGGCGCCCCAGCTGACCTGGCGAAAAGCGGTGACACAAGAAGGGTCCCACGTGTGGCCAATCTCGTAGCAGTTGTGCGGTATGGACTTGCTGAGCGCCGCCATGTTGGCAAGGGATGCCCGGTGATAGCCGGGTTTGCGGGATTCCCTAACTCAACGAAGCGGGGAGGGGGGGTTAAAATTTTTACGTACAACGAATATATTTAATAAAGTGCTCAGAACACGCTCAAAATCAATAACGTGCAAACCTACGTCCACTAATATTAAGTAAGTCATCTGAATTAATGAAGTGTCGGAATAACATCATTTAGAGCTACAGCGGTAGGCGCTATGGTATGAATTCCTTTGCAAGCGACACCCGCGATCGCCATGTGCTGGAGTTGGTAGCGTCCGTCGCGGGGACTTGCCCAAAGTGGTGGCGCGAGCCGCAGATGCGGCTTCTGATTGGTCCGCGCCAGTGGAGTTGAGTCTTCTGCGATGCACTTAAACCCCCCCCCACCTGCCAAAGGGCAACACGAGCAGTTACCCAATGGCCCTGGAACATTGGGCCCTGCGGAAAGTAAGACGCGACCCCAAAGCTTTTGCCCGGTGTCAGTCGTCAAACCCATACGGTTTACACGTGTTCTTGGACACGGAAATTTTGTTTTTAGGTTCATAGGGGCCGTCCATAAATGACGTCACGCGATTTTTGACCCCCCCCTCGTCACACGGCGTCACAAAAAGTCAGACCCCTCCCCTCAAATGTGACGTCACAAAGCTCTGCCCCCCCCCCCCAAAACCATATTTCCATTTTGAAAATAAAAAATGCTTCAAATCGCTTTAAACTATTGTCATTGTAGTGCGTATTTGATGTGGCGCTGCACTCTGATGTTGTAGGTGAAAACATTTATTAAAAAGTCTATTTATTTAAGTAGAACGTGTTGTCTATATTTATTTAAAGTTGCGCATTTTGATGTGACGTCACATTTCTCAAACCCACCCCTCGTTACACATCGTCACAAATGTCTGACCCCCCCCCCCAGGTGCGTGACGTCATTTATGGACGGCCCCATACGGCGTACAGCCGTTTCAATATGGGGGGGGGGGGGAATCATGCTTTTATCTATTTGTTTGTGTTTCTCCCTTGTGATGGGACTTTGTAGGATGAACGTTGAGATTTATAAGGGCACGGGGTGACCAATACGTTCTGACTTGGTTCGTAATAAGTTAGGTACTGATAAGGGGTTGACAGGTTTGAGTTATACAATAACAACCACAGCTGCCATTCACCACGAAGTGTGGATGACGTCAGTGCAGCGGTTGTGCCAGGCTAGGTGCACACACAAAACAAACGTTGAGGCTACGTGAAGTGTCAAAGGCACGGGACAGATCCAGGCACATGTATGTAGAACTTATTTCGGACCGTACATTGGCAACCGTGCTAATCGTAGGTAACATGGGTTGACTGAGATGACTGGCAGATGCACCACCTGTGCTCCCCACTGTCAGCTTACGTAAGTTGGCAGTGTTGTGAGCGTCGCTCCTCTGCCCCTCTGCTCTTCCAAAATCCGCCAACTACCCAGTATCCTCAATATGCACCTAGCCTGGCACTGCCCAGTAGCATACTTTCACGTGCCTCCTGCACAGAGGCCGATCTTGACACCGCTGGTAGCAGTCATCGGCAAGTCTACAGATACCCTGACGCCTGCTGCTGTATATTTGGAGTTTGCGTGTCTCTCTCCCCGTGGTCACGTGGATTTTTCTCCGGGTCCTCCGGGTTTCCCTCCCCATTTAGAAACGTGTTTAGAGTATTTGGCTGCTATCAATCCACGTGATATTTGGCTGCTATAAATTTCCACATGATAAGCCACTTCGTTGAGCTATCACTTGTGGCCAGGTGGCTTCTGAAAAGAGCTGTATAGCTCAGTGGGCCTTACCTGGTAAAATAACAAGTTTCGTTTTAGTTTAGCTCCACATCCTTCTGTACCACATCGGACCAAACAAAAGCTGCTTGGGCATGCGCATCCGTGTGTCTATAGAACTCCCTTCGCACCGTACGTAGCCTACCGTAATAATTGGAGGTGTGTGGGAAGGACAACAGAAAACACAAATATCAGTTCCAAAGAAATGAGTTTTTCGATCTAGATTCAAAAGTGCATCGCTCCAGTGGTGAGTTTTGGGTTAAAAGTTCTCGGACTCAATCGTGGTCAGATGTAGACCTCATAATTAAATTCTCACGATGTTTCGATTGCAACACAAGCAATCATCATCAGGTGTGAAAACCACAGCAATAATTTTTTTTAAAAAGTGGCGGTTTTTTCAGGCGTGTACAGTACACCGGTGTTCTTTATACATTACTCAAACAAAAAAATATTCCATCCATGGCATCCTTTTCGTCAGCGGAAGACCGTGGATTTTTTTTTAGCGTTTAACTTTTTTGTTGTTGAAGACGATTGCAATTATTTGAACATTTCCTGCAAAGACTGAACGACGTGCCGATCCTGGAACGACAGAAGCCTTGATGCTGATGCTGCTGCTGCTGCTCTAATACGATAACATCGAACACCCGACGAAATCGTCGATCAGAGACGTCTTATTTTACCTTAGGGGAATTTATAAGGCGCCTTAACGCCTTAACCAAGGCGTTTTGCAAAGGATTTAGGAGCCGTCCATAAATGACGTCACGCACCTAGGGGGGAGGGGGGAGGGGTCATACATTTGTGACGATGTGTGACGAGGTGGCGGGAGGGGGTTTGATAAATGTGACGTCACATCAAAATGCTCAACTTTAAATATAAACAACACGTTCTACCTAATTAAATAGACTTTTTAATAGATGTTTCCTCCTACAACATCAGACTGCAGCGCCACATTACATACGCACTACAATGACAATAGTTTAAAGCGATTTGAAGAATGTTTTTTTGGTGGGGGCGGGGCAGAGCTTTGTGACGTCATATTTGAGGCGGGGTCTGACTTTTTGTGACGCCGTGTGACGAAGGGGGGGGGGGTGTCAAAAATCGTCAAAAATCGCGTGACGTCATTTATGGACGGCCCCTTAAACGGTACGCGTGAATTAATGTGCCCCCATACTTGGAAAAAGTGGGCGTGGTGTTTGGTGGAAGGGTCGTGTCTTCATAATAGGTGTCTTCATAATAGGTGAGATCGCATAAATATAAATGTGTCGTGAAACCCGCCACCACTCGACACAGCCAATTAGTAAGGTTTGTTACGTAAACAAAACATGACAATTCGTAGAAACAAATCAGTAACACGTTATGTTTACGTGACAAACCTTACTAATTGGCTGTGTCGGGTGGTGGAGGGTTTAACGACACATTTTTACTTACGCGATCTAACAAAAAAACTCTATTACGGATAATATTTGTCACGAAAGCCCTACGACTACAACGCCCCCTTCATTTGATTGTCTTAAATATGAGCAAAAACGGGCGATTCCATCCCAATTCTTTTTCTTTTATTACGTCGAATCGTACACCTTCAAGGTGGCTGCCCGATCGACTTTGAGCCGGGCGCCTGGATCGCGCTGAGCGGAATTTTACAGCGATTCAGTCTTAGATTCGCGATCCACCATGGGCATATATGGGCACATCTCAGGATCGGTGGTTTCGTGCGCTGCAGCAGTTGCCAGCGTCTGGTTGGACTGATTGGCTGGCAGTGGTCGCGGCTGTGGAGGAGAGTAAACCCACGGCATTTACAATTCGAGTACGACGTTTCGCCGAGTAACGAATTGGCACGTTCTGTTCACGTGACAAACCCTTACTAATTGGCTGTGTCGGATGGTGGCGGGTTTAACGACACATTCATCCTGACAGGATTTAACCCTCCAAAAAAACTTCGATCATATGGATAAATATTTGGTCGCGAACGCCTACCGTGTTAAACTTACGGCTGTAGAGTTTTTGAGTGACAAAACTCGTATGTATGTAGAACTTCTTTCGGTCTGGCAGGCAAGGCTGCGTTTTGCCTGGGTCATTCAGTTCGGTTCATTTATTTGGTATAGCCCTGTGAGCCATTCGGCTCTTGAATCGGGTGCAACCGCAACAAACAAAAAACATGAACAAGAAAACATCTTAAAGTGACTTACGTGCAACAGAAAAATCCTGGAAAAAACAGCAAAAGTCTTCCAGAAAAAGCACCGTACATCAACGCTGTGTGCAAAAAATCCCAGTGGGATGCAAGTCAAACAATAACAACCATAAGACAATTTAGATTAAAGTTATCAGTCTAACTCTGTACTACAACAAACAAATATGGCTCAACCAAAACGTTTTAGAAATCACCAAGACAAAGCCACAAAAACAATGTAACAGTCATGTTGCCCCCATGCCCAACCACCGCATGCCCAAGCAGCTTCTGTTTGGCCGCACAGAGGGGGCTAAACAGGCACGACACGGGCTGGTGAAGAGGTGGAGCTGGTGCGGTACGGGAGGATGTGGAACTGAGTGGACTTGTCGAAGACCTCTGTGGAGGAAGCTCGTGAAGGAGGCTACTGGGCAATTGGACGCAGTCGCCTTCCAACAACAACTGAGGGCAAGAGGAGCGATGCTCACAAACAATGAGCGGAGCGCCGGGAGGCTAAAATGAAGCAAGTTGGCGCAGTAGGAGGTACGGCTGGTGCATCTGCCGGTCATCTCAGTCATGGCACCTGCCGGGTGGGTCTGTCAGCGATCCTTCGACACTTCACGTGGTCTCAAAGTGCACCTGGCCTGGCACAGACGCCATGGTGACGTCACCGTCACTTAGTGGCGGACGGCGGGTGATTGGCATGTAGAACTTCTTTCGCACCGTACGTGGCCAACCACGCGCTAAACGGAGGTTGCGGCCCGTGGCGGTGTCCTGTTGTGTACGCACGTCGCACTCGTTGCACACAAAGTGCTCGCAACAAGTGAACCACAATACCTCGCTGATCTCGTCAAGGGGCATAAACCATCAAACACGCGAACTCCGACCATCCTCGCAGCAGCAGCAGCAGCGGCGGCTTTTTGGCTGCTGGGCCATCGAACAAAGACGGTGGTCACCGCATCGCCGCACGCTTTCGGATGCGCTTCTGCGGCCGTCTGGAACGCTCTTCCCTCCGATATTAAGAGCTATGCGCTTTTCAATCTAGATTGAAAACTCATTTCTTTAGAACTGCTTTTTGTATTTAGCTTGTTGTCCCCCCCCCCACCCCCGCCCCCCCACCTCCGATTAGCACGGTTGGCTACGTACGGTACGAAAGAAGTGCAACAAACATACAGTACATACATTGTCCCGGAGCTGCTGAAACCATCTCACACCGTAGTCCCGTGCGCCTGCCCAGAGTATGTCACTTTCTCTTGCCAGAGCTGCCCACTCATTGAAGTTGATGTTAAAGTCTTTTTGATCATGCTTGCAGATGTTGCTGAATTGTAGTTTTTTGGGGCAAGCTGCAATTCTCTTGGCTACAGTCCTATAAAATA